TGAAAGCACTGATTCAAAAAGATATATGCATCACCATGTTTATAGCAGCATAATTTACAATAGCCAAGATATAGAAACAACCTAAATGTCCACTGATTGAACGGAGAAAGAAGAGTGGTACACACACACACACACACACACACACACACACACACACACAGAAATATTGCTCAACCGTAAAAAAAGAATGCTATCTTGCCATTTGCAACAACATCAATGGATTTAGAGAGTATGATGCTAAGTGAGATAAGTTCGCGAAAGACAAATATCATATGATCTCATTACATGTGAAATGTAAAAAAATGACCAAACAAAGCACAAACAGATCCAGAAATACAGAGAACAAACCGGTGGTTACCAGAGGGGAGGGGGAGGGGAGAGCGCAGTCCAGGCTTCCAGTTAGGGAACGAATGAGTCGTGGGGATGAAAGGTTCAGCACAGGGATTATAGACAGTGATACTGTAACAGCACCGCGTGTGGTGACGGGTTGGAGCTACGCTTGCGGAGCATGTAGCATAATGTATACAGTTGTCCAATCGCTATGTTGTGTCGTACTCGCCCAACACTAAGGTCACATTGTGTGTCAAACGCCCTTTAACTGAAAGAGAAAAAGTCAGTGGTAGAGCTACCCTATGGCAACCCAACAATTCTGCTCCTAGGTGAAGACCCAGAAGAATTGAAAGCACGCGGGCGCACAGAGACCTGCACGCAGTAGTACTCAACTAGCCAAACCGTGGGAACAACCCAACGTCCCTCAGCTGCTGAATGGGCAGACAAAACATGGTGGTTCCTCCAAGGTACACCACTCGGCCACAAAAAGGAGTGGAGCTCTGGCACGCGTTACCACAGGGGCAGGTCCTGAAAATATTACGCTAAGGAAGGAGCACCTGGGTGGCTCAGTCGGTTAAGCATCCAACTCTTTTGTCATTATTTTTTTAATATTTCTTTATTTAAAACTTTTTTTTACATTTATTTATTTTTGAGAGACAGAGACAGAGCACGAGTGGCAGAGGGAACAGAGAGAGGGGGAGATACAGAATCGGAAGCAGGCTCCAGGCTCGGAGCTGTCAGCAAAGAGCCCGACGCGGGGCTTGAACCCATGGACCACGGATCGGCCTATGAGCGAAATTGACGGCAACACGGCCGAGCCCACTGTATGAAGCCCCCACTCTCTCTTAAAAAAAAAAAAAAAGAAGAAAAAGAATAATAACTAAATGAAAAAAATGAACACAAGGACCACACATATTATGTGAGTCCATTTAGACGAAATGTCCAAAACCTGTAGAGAGGCGAGAGGTGGGTTGTAGCCATACACCCAGCTGGGAAAGAAGAAGGACAGGAGTGGCTTGATTACAGGCTCTCTTTCAAGGATGATGAAAATGTTATAAAATTAGTTGATGTTTCTCAACTGATGAATATAGTAAAAGCCACTGAATTGGATCCTATAAAGGAATTGAATTTTGAAGCGCCTAGGTATGGCTGGTTTGAGGCGTCGGCCGGTTCTGGTCATGATCTCCCGGTTTGTGAGTTCAAGTCCCTTTGATGGGGCTCTGTACTTTGACAGCTCAGAGCCTGGAACCTGCTTTCCGATTCTGTGTGATAAGCTCTCTCTCTGTCCCTCCCCTGCTTGTGTGCTCTCTCTCAAAAAGAAAATAAATATTTAGAGAGCCTGGGTGGCTCCCAGAGGAGTGGTTGAGAGAGAACTCCAGCCTCAGATCATGATCTCTAGAGTAGTCCGTGGTTGAGCCACACAGCCGAGAACTCTCAGGCTTTGACAGGTCCAGCCTGGAGCCTATGTTTGATTCTGCACCTGTGTCTCCCTCTCTCTCTCTGACCCTCACCTGCTCATGCTCTGTCTCTATCTGTCTCAAAAATAAATAAATGTTAAAAAAAATTAAAAAAAAAATACATTTAAAAATATATATAAAAATAAAAGGATGAATTTTATGGTATGTCCATTCTATCTCAATAAAACTGTTGTTACCAAAAAAAACCAAAAAACCTCAAGTAAGCTGCAAACACATACAACCTGGGCGAAGTTAAAAACCGTTATGCTGAAAGAAGTCAGACAGACGGAAGTAATACTCTAGGACTCCACTTAAATAAAGCCCGGAAACAGGCAAATCCAATCTGTTTGGACAGGAATGAGATCAGTAGCTGCCTGGGGTGGGAGGCGTAGAGAAGGAAGGGAAGCTGGTGATGGGAACGTCTTGTATCTCGACTGGGGTGATTATTTCACGAGTGTGTACCCTTGTTAATATTTACAGACCTGGACACAGATGTGTGTATTCAATTGCATGTAAATTTTCACTTCAATAAAGGTGACTTATTTATGTTTATTTATTTGTTTACTTTTGAGAGAGAGAGACAGAGCACAAGCAGGGGAGGAGCAGAGAGAAAGGGAGACACAGAATCGGAAGCAGGCTCCAGACTCCCAGATGTTGGCACAGAGCCCCAACTCGGGGCTGGGTCACGACTTGAGCCAAAGTCGGACGCTTCACCGACGGAGCCGCCCAGGCGCCCCTTGAGACCGGTAATTTAGAAGTGCGAAACAGGGGCGCCTGGGCGGCTCCGTCGGTGAAGCGTCCAACTTCGGCTCAAGTCACAATCTCACAGTTTGTGAGTTCGTGCCCCACATTGAGCTCTCTGCTGTCAGCGCAGGGTCTGCTTCAGATCCCCTGTCCCCCTCTCTCTGCCCCTACCCTGCTGTTCTGTCTCTCAAAATCAAAACAAATAAACTTTAAATGTAAAAAAAAAAAAGAAAGAAGGAAAGAAACAAGAAACAGGTTTCTGAGTCTGCTAGTCCAATAGAGCCGGCAACTTCCCAAGTTAAGAGCACGTTTGCACGGCTGTGCTGGGGGGCGTTTAGAGTCCTTGACGAGGGTGCTCTGCTCCCCCCACCCCTGTCCCCTGCCCGGCTGAGGGCATCAGCACCTGATGCGGGGAAGCTCACTGCAGAGCACAGAGTGGGCTGGGATCAGGGGGTGGGGATGGAGGGAGTCCCCGCTCCAGCTGCCTCCGTGACCTTGCTTGTAAAATCAGGACAGTGATAACATGTACCTCCAGGCATCACTGACATGATTAAGCAAGATAGCAAGTAAAAAGTCCCTTGAATCTACCTGGCACAGCATAACTAATCCATTGTCAGTGTCCTATTAAAGGCGACAAGAGCTCCCGGACCGTTTAGTGAGAACCTAACGTTTCCTCGGCTAGCACAATTTCACCTTCCGTGAGAACAGACTATTTTTTTTTTTTCTTTA